GGCAGCAGCTGCTGCAGCTGCCGCATCCCGCAGCAGCAGCAGCCGCAGCGCCGCGGGCCCCTGGTGGGCAGCCGCCGCTGCCGCAGCACCGCAGCGCCGCAGCGAGCAGCAGCAGCAGCAGCAGCAGCTGCAGCAGCTGCAGAAGGAGTAAAAGGAATCGAAAAGAAGGGAAAAAAGAGTCAAAAGAAAGGAAAGAAAGGGCTCGAAGAGAAGGACAGAAAGGAATCAAGAAGAGGCAACGAAAGGAGTCCAGAAGAAGCAAAGAAGGAGCCAAAGAAAGAAAGAAAATAAAAAAGAAGACACAAAGCACCTTGTCGCGCCACTGCTCCGAAGTGGCCAAAGAGAAAGAGGCCATGCGGTCGCCGCTGGGCAGCTGCCGCACTTCGGGCTCTAAGCCCACGCGGCCAATGAGTGTCACTCTGTTGACGGAGCGTTCGGCCTGAAATGAACAAAAAAGAAGTCCATTTGAAGACTATTTTGACTCAAATTCTGCAACGGGGCCCCACTGGAGGGCCCCCAGGGGGCCCCAGGGGCCCCCAGGCCCGGCCTGGCTCAAGAAATGAAGGCTGGGGGGCAGCTGGAAGCAGCAAAAGAAAGAAAGCTGAAAGTTGAATTTGCTGGAGGGCTCTGGGGGCCCCCGGGAGGGCGGCAGCTCCCGGCTCGTACAGTTCAGCTGCAGCAGCAGCCTTGCAGGGGGAAACAGCAGCAGCAGCAGCAACTGCAGCAACAGCAGCAGCTGCAGCAACAGCAGCAACCGGCAGAAACGTTGCACAGTGAAGCAAGCTCACCAGCAGTATGGGGCCCCCATTCCCCCCCCCGGCGTCTCCTTCTGCCTTCAGGGGTGCAGCAGAGACCCTTTTTGTTCTAAGAGGAATTCGCCCGGAGGCGCTGAGGCCGCGGCCGCCGTCAGATCCCAGCAGTCTGCTGCAGCCGGGGCGCTGGGGGGCCCCGTCTCGAGCTGCGGCCGGGCAAAGAGGCCCTTTCCAGCTGCTGCTGAGTTGGGGGGAGACAGAGAAAGCATTGGAGAAGAGGTGAGCCGCCGGCAGCGCGAGGATCAGCCCGAACACACACGCGAACACAGCCGCGGGCCCACAGGCCCCACCGCGCCTCGGCATAATGCGGCGGGCAGCTTGAGCCAGTAGAAAACCCCAAAGTAATTAAAAACAACTTTTAATGCTCAGGTAAGGGGATTAGTCGAGCCGGAAACGAAGGAGGCCCGAGAACGAGCACGCATCGATGCTCCGCCGCAGCCGCCCATACACTCCCAGGGATACTCTGCTGGAGCCTGAAGGATAACTAAAAAACGCTCAAAATCTCAATCTTTTCCCTTTTTAAGCCCTTTCCGCATGGACAGGGTTAAACAAAGAGAGGCTGCGGGCTCGCCTGCCGCCGCCGAGATGTCTTCCTTGTACACGCAGAACACCCCTGATCTCGCCTGATAACTATGAATTGTCCGACGAAACTTCTGGAAAACGAACACTAATTATTCGGATTATTATTTTTATATGCAGGGTAGCCGAAACTAGAGAAAAGACGCCCTGAAAGAAGGGCTTTCCTCGCATCCTCCGTCGCCTCTTCCCAAACAGCCTGATGTCTTGCAAATCATGTTTGTCGCTACACACAACTCTTTCTTACTTTCTCTCTGCTTTTTTGTGTCGAATTTGTGTCGATTTGGCTTCTTTTGTCCCACAGCTTCGTCTCTTCTCCCGCCGCAGGAGGTGCTCGGTGGCTTCATGCCTGCAGGTGTTGCTAGCAGCTTTCGTGATTGTGTCTCTGCGGATCTTTGCTGCTTCTCCTCCTCTCTTTTCTGCTTCACGTGTGAAGTTTCGGACAATCTCCTCTACTCCGCCATTTTGGCCTTCGCCTCCCGGTAGTGGAGGAGCATTCAGCCGATGGCCAGCTGCAACAGCAGCAGGAGCTTCTGCTGCTGCTGCTGCTACTGCTCCAGCAGCATCATCTCCTGCTGCTGGCGCTACTTTTCTGTATAAGCTTTGAACTGGCCGTAGAAGCAGCAGCAGGGGTCGCTGCACAGTTTGGTAGGGAGGTTCGTTTGGAGTTTCCCCAATTAGGGCTATTATTTAATATTCATAAAGAAGCTAATTAGGGCTACTGTTTAATACTGATAAAGAAGAAAAATGAATGCAGCAAAGTGCACGTGGCCCAAAGAACAAAACTGAAAGATCTGTTAGATTGCGATTGCACAAAAGTGTCTCATGTGCTCCCAGCCTGCGAAGCTGCTGCCTAGGAATAGCTATTTGATCATTTGAAACATCCCTAAAGGGCCGCAGCAGCAGCAGCAGCTTTTTCTGCTGCTGCTGCTGGTGTTGCTGCTGACTAAAGGCCGCTGCTGCCGCAGTGACACAAAGGTGCAGCGTGGTCCCCAAGAAGGCGCTGTGTAGGTGCAACACCCATAGCAGCAAACTGCAGCAGCAATTTGGCCTCTAGGGTGCAGCAGCACTTGAAAGCAGCGGCTGCTTCGCAGCCTTTGCCCGTTTTGCTGCAGCTCGAGTAGCTGAAGGTGCTTTTGCTGTTGCTGAAGCAGCGCTGCTGCGGCTAGAGTTACCCTGAAGAACTTTTACTGCGTTTTTGGGGCTGCCAAGTTTCTTTTTTTTGGGTTTAAGGCTTTCAAGGCCGTTAAAGCTGGCGGTTCACCACTGGTCCAATCTGCTGCTGCTGCTGCTGCTGCTGCTGGCCACCGCTTCCTTGACTCTCCATAGGGCCTCTAAAGCCACTGGGAGCCTCTGCTGAGATTTCCTAAGTTCCAGAAGTTATTTTCCTTTTCATTTGTGTCTCTGCAGCTAGCTATTTGCTGTCTGCTGCTGCTGGCTGGCATTACTGTGCTTCGAGGGTTTCTGGCCTTCGCTCATTACCTGATATTTGCTGTCCTGCTGCTTTCCGTTATTTTTAGCATTAAGACGAACAAGCAGCAGCAAAAGACGCAACAGCAGCAGCAGCGGCTCGCCGAAACAGCTTTGCAGACACTGAAAAGACCTGACGATAAGCTGCAGGAGCAGCTTATCAATGCGATAATGCAGCAGCAGCAGCAGCAAGTCAGTTGCAGTAGGCTCTATGCACAGAAAGCCTCCCTCTTCTGCTTTTTACGCGCACAAACTGCAGAAGGCAAACAGGAACGGAGAACAAGTTCATTTGTGCTGCTGCAGAACAGCACATCATCGGGTTCCCGCAGAATCTTCAGAGGCATTTACGAAAATGGCTGCGAGAGCAACAAAAGAAGGGCAGAGAAATAAGCATGTGAACATATTGGACAGCAGCAAGTTAACTGTGTTGTTTGTAATATCAGTAATGGCAAGCAGACCCTAGCAGGGTCTTGCGGAGCGCAGTAACTGGAGGAGTCTTTGAGGAATCTTAGTGCTGAATTGCACTGAAATAGAATAATTAAAATCGAGAATATTGAATTTAGTTGCAGTTCGATGGAACGGCGAGGAGGGAACAGCAGCGGGGAACTTCAGCGATCAGTTGTCGGCCCACAGTGGCTGGCTGCCGTTGTTTCCAGCGGCGACAAACAAACAAAGGACTTTGTTTTTATTTAAATTCCGGCAAACGTCTTAATTTATCGAGTTCTGTCACTTTGCAAATACTTGGAGAACGTTTGCGTATTTTTCTTGTCAACGGGGCGCGCTACAAGATCCTCGACGGGTTACGATGTTGTACGTCATTGAAAATGTTGAGGAGGAGATAGAAGTGAGCAATTAATACCCCTCACATCCGACGCAACAGCACACTAGTCTGTTTCGTAGTGCAATTGTGGCATTTGGGGCTCATTATATTCGAATTCCGTTCAACTTGAGCAGTGAAAATGTGGGGAAGCTGCTCTGCCGCGCAGTAGAGGTCCACAGGCAGCCCATACGGCCTCGCCTCTCGCCCCAGCGACGAGCGCCCTTTGCACTGCTACTGTGGGGCTCGGGACTTTAAGCTTTGCAGGAGAAAGCTGCTCTTTTTGTCCTTTTCCTTCAGCAGTGGTGTACCTTAGAGTACAAACACATCAGCGAGACTGTGGGCCCTTCCCGGGCCATTTTCACCAGCGTTCCCACGAGGTGACTGCAGCAAACTTCTTTCCTCTCCTTCACTGGCTGCGCCTTTGTGTGCTGCTATAGGCGTGGCTTGCCGCTGCCTCTGTCTGCCCTCCGCAGGCAACTCGCGGACCTCCAGGCGCAGCTGAGGGCGCGGGTGCTGCCGGGTAAGAAGCCACCAGTTTCTTTATTGTGTAATAAAAGATCAAATGGTTTAATTCTGGCTATTTAGTGGGGGCTGCGGGGCATCTTTGGGGGCTGGGCGAGCGACTCCGCTGCAGTTCCCGGGCCCCTCGTTCACCCTCTTCGCCGGCCTTCTTTGTCTCCTTTTCTTTCTCTGTTCTCTCAGACTCAGCAGACACTCTCGAGGAACTCAATTGGGACAGAGTTCTTCTGCTAGATGTCAGTGCGCGGCGGCGCAGCGAAAAGATGCATATCTGCACACAGCCGAGCGGCGACTCGCAGCAGCTTTCCTATTTCTTGAAAACGGGGGCGAACACGGGAAAATTCGCATTTATTTCAGCTCAATTTACACTAATATTTAATAATATTACATACATTAATCCAATTAACTGAATTTTCCCTTTCACGCAGATGGACGCGGACCAAGAGCTCACTGTCGCCGACGCAGACCGCTTCGACGCCGTGCTCGTTGGAGGCATTTTAGGTGAGTCCTCTTGAGCTTCTCAGGACATTAGCTGCAGCAGCAGCAGCAGCGGGAAGTAGCGAGCTAAGGCTCACAGCAGCTGCTGCGGCTGCTGCAGCAGCGGCTGCAGCACCTGCTGCAGCAGCCGTTGCAGCCCGTTGCCGGGGCCAGCTGCAGCAGCAGCCGTTTCAGCCGAGCTGCCGCAGCAGCCCCTTTAGCAGCTTCTGGATCCCGCTGCTGCAGCAGCTGCTGCAGCAGGCCGACGGCTCCGTTTGCTGCTGCGGCGCAGGGAATGTGCCTTCTGACGACAGAACTGCTGAAGTCCGGAAGCTGCGGCTGTCTCACGCGAGGCACTTGGGGCCTTTGCAGATGACCACCAACACGGCTGTCTTGGTCTCGAAGATCATTTTGGAGGGCAAGTGCTTTACAAGCTGCTGCTGCTGCTGCTGCTGCTGCAGCTGCTGCTGCTGCTGCTGCAGCTGCTGCAGCTGCTGCAGCTGCAGCAGCAGACTCTCTGCTGCTGGGGCAGGCAGAAGCAGGCAGCCCGCGACCCGCTGCTACTACCTTGCTGTTGCCTTGCTGCTGCTTCGCTGCTGCTTTGCTACTGCTTTGCTGCTGCTTTGCTGCTGCTTTGCTGCTGCAGTGCCCTCGGGCGCGCGTTTGCTGCTTCTGTTGCTGCCAGCAACGCAGTGTAGGGTTAAAGTGATGCAGAAATTCACATTTTGCCTTATTTTTGCATTATGAAATGATTTTTAGGGTTTTTTTTACAATATTAAATGCTTTTTAAAGGCCTTTTGCATTATTAAGTGCTTTTTAAAGGTTTATTGCATTATTAAATGCTTTTTAAAAGACTTTTTGCACTATTAAATGCATTTAAAGATACTTTTGACTGGAACTTCGTTTTCTGTGCAGACAAAGTTTCCCTCAAAGACATCCCAATGGTGGACGAGCCCGAAATCCCCGCAGTGAGAAAGCCAGTGCTTGGCAGGCGAATTCAAATTCAAAAATAAATATAAATATAAATATAAATAAATAGAAATAGAAATAGAAATATAAGCATAAACATAAACATAAATATAAATAATGAATAAAAATAATAAATAAAAGTGCAAATATAAGCGTGAATGTGCGCCACTGCGTTCGCCTCTGCATTTCATGTGCCGTTGCCGCCGCATGCAAATTGTTTTAATTTTAATTTCTTTTTTGCATTTATTTTTTTGATTTTTGTTTTCATCTTTTTGGTTTTCCCGCAGGGCCCCAACTCCAAGGAGTCGCTGGTGCTGCCGTTTCGCTACGTGGCCAAAAGTTATTTGACGAAAAGTGAAAGTGATAAAAGTGAGGCTTCGCAGCTTCCCCTGTCTGAGGTGTACAGACAGCTGGGTAGTACAGCGTCAGAGCATGCGTTCCAGCTTCATTCCTTTTCCTTTTTTCTTTTTTCTTTTTCTACACTCAGACACCCCAATTTTGCCCGAAGGCCTGCTGCCTTTCCTTATGGAAAGCGCCAATTCCCCGCTGCTGTAGCAGCAGCAGCAGCAGCAGAAGACCTGCTGCAGCAGCAGCAGGAGAGCGCCCGAGCAGCCTCAAGGAGTGCAGCAAATGCCCATATGAATATGATGATTTGAATGACCCATAGTTCACGCAGTGCCCCCTGCAGCAGATTGGAAAGGGCTTTGCTGCAGCAGCAGCAGCAGCAAAAAGCCCCGCCAAAGGAGAAGCTGCGCAGCTGGGCGGGGCTGCTGCTTCCCGCTGCAGCAGCAGCTGAAGGGCGGCGAAGCTTCAGCTGCTCCCGTATTTGTAAGTTGGAATGCCCAGCAGCAGCAGCAGCAGCAGCAACTAGCGAGCCAGGGGGCTGCTGCTTCCATCAAGTCCATTTGCAAAAATTAAAAGTTTTGTTTCCGCCTTAGAAGCATTTTGAAAGATTTGGTGGGGCCCCAGCGGCCCGAAAGAGCTTCGCCGCCGCTGCCAGCAGCCGTCACTCCAGCACGGGGTACCTGCCAGCTGCAGCAGCAGCAGCAGCAGCAGCAGCAGCAGGGCCCCGCGGCGCCAGGAATTAGTTCTTGAATTTCCCCAAGTCCGAAAAGACTCACCTGCAGCGCCCCGCAGCAGCCGTGCTGCTGCAGCAGCAAAGGCCCCGGGGCCCTGGGGGCCCTGGGGGCCCTGGGGGGCCCCCCAGAAGGCCGCAGCGGGGCAGTGGACTCTGCACAGCTTTTTCAACATTTCTTTTTGTGGCAAAGTCATCGCCTTCCAGTTCTGCGGCTTGTGGCACGCCCCTGCAGCGGCGGCGCCGTCGGGGTGTACGTACACTCCAAAAGCCCGCGGCCGCCTCACCTCTGTAGCTCGGGCCCGGCTCGCACCAGCCTGAGGGAAGTCACTTTTATTATTTTGGGACTTTAGGTGGACTAAATGAGGCTAGGTCCCAAGTCGAGGGCTCAGGCGCATGCAAAACCAACTATTGCATGCACAAGCCAACAGTTGCATGCAGAGATGAACAGTTGCATGCAGAGACCAACAATTGCATGCAAAACAAACACTTGCATGCAGAGCAAACAACTGCACGCAAAACAAACAACTGCATCCAAAACAAATAACTGCATGCAGAACAAACAACTGCATGCAAAACAAACAACTGCATGCAAAACAAAAACTTGCATGCAAAACAAACAACTGCATGCAAAACAAGCAACTGCATGCAAAAGAAGAACTTGCGTGCAAATTCGCTTTCTGTGGCGCACCTGTCTTGGAGCCGACTGGGTGCCACTCCTGGGGGCACTGTGAACAGTCTTCTGGGGCTTGACCTGCAGCAGAAAAAGCAATGAGTCCGCGCTGCTGCTGCTGCTGCTGCTGCTGCTGCTGCAGTTGGGAGCTGGAGACGCACCGAGGCAGGGCCAGCTGAGGCTGCAGAGGCGCGCGGCGTCTGTGCGTGGAGTTGAGGTGTACGTACACCTGAGAGCCGCGGCCGCGGCGCGAGGAAGCCAACCTTTCCTTTCCTCTTCCGTCATAAAATCAAAATGTCTTCTTTCCGGGCAGGCCTGCGAGGCCCCGTAGCCTGCGGGTTCGTCGCTGCAGCTCTTTTGTCTTCGCCGAATTTCCGAATTTCAAAACTCGCCTTCGGGAGCTTCGCACAGCGCTGAGTCCATCAGGTTTCGCCAGCCCAGGGGGCAGGGGGCTGCGAAGTAGTCCTGAGTGCCTGCGGGGAGAAATCAACAAGAAAAAGCTTTTAAATGGAGTTGAAAGAACTGTTTTAATATATTTAATTGCATGTTTTTAAATGTGCAAAAAGAACTGCATTTCGCGCCTCCCGCATGCGCACTGCGTGCACCTGCGCCTGTCCATACACCCGAAAAGATGCTTTCTCCACGAGCAATTAAAGTTGCACTTCCAGAAAAGCAAAAAGATCAATTAAATATAACGCAGAGACAGCTGCTGCTCCGCAGGGGCCTACAGGATCTCTGCGTGAAGTCCGACAGGCAGGGCCACGGGAGGCCCCAGGCCTTCGAAAGAGCCTCTCGGCCTTGTTGGCCCATTTCCTTCAACTCCCCAGAGTCCCGGTAGCCCCCCGTGTACCCCTGAGGCACCCACCAGCAGCAGCAGCAGCAGCAGCAGCAGCAGCAGCAGCAGCGATTGGCTCGAGTTGAAGGCTCTTGCTGCAGAAACGACTCACCTGCGGGGGCTGGCAAGTGCCCGAGGAGGCCTCGAAGCGCCAGGAGGAAGGGCAAGTGTGCGAAAAGTCTTTTTCTGTTTTTATTTATTTTTTATTTTTGAAATTAATTGCAAGTGAGCAGCAGCAGCCCACCGCAGGGCTCGTCCCGGCAGGGCCACTCCACTTGGCCTGGGGCGCGGGGCAGCAAAAAAACGGAATAAAATAAAAATAAAATAAAATAAATCCAATTCAATTTATTGCGAATTGCTTTTCGGCGGCTTGGGTGGACATACAGTTGGCAGAGAAATCCAACTTCTGCTCCTCCGTGAATCCGGAAAGGTTCTGAAGAGTTTCATTTTAATTTCTGAATTTAATTTTTGTTTTTTTATCCATAAGCTCACTTGGGAGGGCTCGCACTGCCCCAGGTAAGAGCTGTACATACAGTTGGGCTCTCTGCACAAAAAAAAATGAAATGGAAATTGAGCCTTACTTGGGGGCGACGCAGACTCCGGTGTATATCCAGTTCACTGAGATTGGCGATAATCATCAAAAGATGAAAAAAAATAAATAAAAACTTTTCAGAATTGCAGAATTCGCACAAGGGCATTCCGCTGCGAAGTTCCTGCCGCCCAGTGGTCCACAGCGGTCTCCCCGACATGACCAGTGGACCTTGCATTCTGGAGTTGGAGATAAAAGAATTAAATGCGTTGGAAGAGTTGGAAGCAGTTGAAACAAGAATTAAATAAATTCAAAAGACTTGAAACGCCGGCACCTTCTTCGATTCGGCGTTTACTGTCGCTGGACGCGCCCGCCTCAACGCGCTGTACAGACACCAGAAAGCAACCCAATTCAAGTCCTTTTCACTTTCAACTTTTCACTTTCAAAACTTTTCTTTTTTCACCATCAAGTGGGGACAGCCCCCAGCGTAGTCCTTCGGGGCCGCGCAGTTTGAACTGCCCTGGGCTTTCCAGCCCGCGGGGCACTGCGGGGAGTCTGCGATCGGGAAAATTGAAATAAATAAATGAATAAATAAATAAATAAATAAATAAATAATAAATAACAAATAAAATGAACAAATAAAATAAAATAGAAGATCTTTTGAGAAGTCCGCCACTTGAAAGGAAAGCTGCAGACCCACAGTCGCGGTCGCAGGTGTCTTCGGGCTGCAGCAAAAAGGAAATGAAGAGGAGTTTGCTGCTGCTGCAGTGCAGCAAAGTGGAAAGAACAAAACTTGCTGCTGCAGCAAAAGCAACTCGGAAATAGAGACAAGTGCCAGCAGCAGCAGCTCACGGGGGCGGGCACTGCGGCCGCGGCCTGTTGGATCTGCAGGCCTTTTGTGAAGTCTGAAAAACAAAAGTGCGAAGAGACTCTGAGGGGTCACCGCCGCGTCCTGCAGCCCCGCGGAGGTGTACGTACACCGCAGCGCCCGCAACGAAGTGCTCACGAACCTTCAAGGCCCAAGGGAGGTTCAGATTTAAAAGTGGAAGACTGAAGCTCGGCAGCTCCGCAGCGCCGAGTCCGCGGCCCCCGAGGCTGTTCAGCAGCGCCCCCAGCTGCGCGCCGCTGCGGCTGACGCCCTCTGAGGGGTCGACTGGAAAAGAAGTGGAAATCAAAATTGAAATTAAAATCAAAATCAAAATCAAAATTCAAAAATTCAAAAACCTACACACGGGGAAAGCTGCCACGGCCACCGGCGGCGACGCCGGCAGCGGCGCTGCAGCCGGCGGAGTGGCTGGGAAGGGCAGCTGCCCTTGCGACACATTTGGCAGTGCAGCAGCAGCAAACTGTCCGGGCGGCACTGCAGCAGCAGCAGCAGCTGCAGCAGCTGTAGCAGGTGCAGCAGCAGGGGCTCCCGTGGGCTTCTGCGCTGCTGCCGGCCAGTTGGGGGGGGCGGGAGAGAAATAAGGCAAAGTTAAAAACCTGGAATGGCTTCGGGGGCAAACTTGGAGGGCGGCCGGTCCAAGAGAGTCCCGTCCTTCATCTGCAAAGTGCCGTAGTGCAGATTCGGCTCGAAGGTCGCGGAAAGCGGCACTGAAGGGGCCTTTGGATGGACAGCCGCGCGGACTCCAACATCTGAAGAAGTTGGAATGGACCAAATAAGGCCAGGTTCGGCTAAGTGGACGGGCCGGCCCAAAGAGTCCAGCTGCAGCACGCCCGACGGCAGCAGGACCCGGACCGCTGCTGCTCCGCAACTCCGGAGGGAAAGCGACGGGAAATCAACCTTCGGCCCCGCCAAAAGGATAAATTTAACAAATAAAAAGACTTTCATGCTGACTCGTCTTTTTTCAAGCGGCTCCGCTCGCGGAAACCTTCAGTGGGAGGCACCTCGCGGGAGGTCACTGCGCATCGCTGAAGAGCTGTACATACACCTCAACGCCCGCTGAACAAAGCGAAGATTCACTGCTGCTAAAAAGGCCTCCCTAAACTTTGACTTCTTCATTAATGCTTTTTGGCTAAATCCAATTTATGTTTTAACTGTTTCGCTACTTGTGGGTTTCTTTGAGGTAACTACTTTGGTGTTTTCAAGGAAGCATTCGCAGCACGGCCGACAGGAGGTGAAGGCGTCTTGGATCACCCGGCTATTTAAATTGTTGGAAGCAAATTTTCAAGTTCAACAAATCTGGGATTGGAGGAAATTTATATATTTTTGGGAGTTAATGTCTCTAATTATTGGCGGATGATGAGGAAATGTCAATATCAGGGGCGGCGAGCAGAGTGGTCGTTGGGATTCTGGGGCTCGGCGCACCCTGCTGTGCAGCTGCAGAAGTCCCTTAGACACAAATTGTTATCTTTTAAATAACGATATTTGTTTGTTTTTAAAGAAATAAAAAGCAGGAGAAAGCTTGTGGCTGCCCGTCTCAGCGTAAGTACAGCGGGACACCACACGGAGGCTGGTTTGCAAGTCCCGAGAGTGCCGCCAACAGCTTTGCTTGTCTCTGCATGCATCTGGAGAGTTGCTGGGTCTTTAACTTGCAGTTTTTAATTCAAAAAGTTCCAAAAGTTCGAAAAATTCAAAAAGATTCAAAAAAATTCAAAAATAATTTCAAGTTTTTGCAAAAAGCTGCTCCAGTTTCGCCGCGATGGCCGCAGAGAATGCCCACGGGGTGGACCCGACGGACTTCCGGGAGATCATCGAAGAGTATGCGCGCGAAGACGCCATGAGAGAAGAACTAATTAAAAAAAGCAGGTAAATAAATAAATTAAATAAATAAATAAATAAATACATAAATACATAAATGAATAAATAAATACACACATAAATAAATGAATAAATAAATAAACAAATAAATAAATAGTGAATATGAAAAAAGAATTAAAAATTTGGCCCGAAACAGAAAGTGTTGAACACGCTCGAAATGGTGGAATCACAAGATAAAAGCTGAAACTGTGATGAATTAAAAAAGAAGTAATTAATTAATTAGTTAGTTAGTTAATTAATAACTTCAAAAGAGTTATTTGATAAAACTAAAACTATAACAAATTAAAGAAGAAATAAATAAATAAATAATGAATTGACGAATTAATGAATCAATTCTTTTGGCCAGGGAGGTGATCAAGCTGAGCAAACAAGCCATCTTTGCTCTCCACCGTAGAGACACCCCGGAGGCCCAGAGCCACCTCCAGATGGCCCAAAAAGTCTTCAATGAAAACATCTGGCCAATCACTGAAGAGCATCCGGCGCTGCGGCTGGCAGGTGGGCTGCTGCGGTGTCTGTACACCCCAGAGCAACGCCGCGCACACCCCAGCGCCCACTCGCCAGTCTTCAGTTAAAACATTTAAAGTCGTGTTTCCGCTCGGGCTCCAGACTGCTCTCCTCCCTCGACACACGCAGCCCCGCCGCAGCTAGGGTTTAGGGTTTAGGGTTTAGGGTTTAGGGTTTAGGGTTTAGGGTTTGTGGGGCAAAAGGCGCAGCCGGCGGGGGAGTCTTGGTGCCTGCAGGCATGCTCACGGGGGCCGTGGAGGAGTACGCGGAGGCCCGCATATTTTTGCATTTTCTTTTGCACAAAAGTTTATTAACTCGAAAAGAAATAAAAGAAATAAAAGAAATTCGAGTTGAAGAGTACTTGGGGGGGCTCATGGACTGCACGGGCGAGTTGAACAGGTCGGCTGCCGCCGCTGCTGCTGCTGCTGCTGCTGCTGCTGCTGCTGCTGCTGCTGCGGCTGCTGCTGTTCTGGAGCGAGCGGGAATTCAAATTAGTTTTGCAAATTTATTCGAAGTATTTGCGTCAATTCCATTACTTGGGTTAGTTTCTTGAAATGAATGAAAACGAATGCAGACAGAGGGCCGGTCGCGGCTGCAGTTGCGGATCTGCAGCAGCAGCCTCTGCGTGGCTCTCGCAGCGAGATGCGCAGCAGCAGCAGCAGCAGCAGCAGCAGCACTGCCGACTGGCACGAAAGTGCTGCACGTGCGTGAAGTGCGCGCGATCGGGCCTCGCCCGAGGCGCAAAACCGAGCCGAGCAAACTAAGAGTAGAGCAAAAGTGGAAGCAAAGCAAAAGAAAGCGAAACGAAACGAAAAAGAACAAAAAACGAACAAGTCGAACTCAGTTTGAAGTGCGCTGCGCGCAGATTCGCAGTGCTGCGCGCCACCGAAGGCCACCGCGCAGCAGTGCAGGAGTGCGCGGCGTTCGTTGCCGCCGTGCACGAACAAATGCTGCTGCTGGACCTGCGCAATTTGCCTCTCCGCAGAAAATATGACGCGTTGAAGTATTCCCAAAAGAGGCTCGAGGCGCTCGTGTACGAGCTCGCGCTCGCCAGCCGCATCGCCGGCCTCAAGCTGGCCTCCATGCTCGTGGAGCCCGAGCCCGAAACCCACGCGGAGCAGGCCCGCGACGCCTGACCGCCTGCTGCTGCTGCTGCTGCTGCTGCTGCTGCTGCTGGTGCACGCAGCTGCTGGTGAGCCCGCCGGGGGGCTTGGGGGTCTTCGTTTGTGGCTCGGCAGCAGGCAAGGGAGTGGGCAGTCGGCTAACGTGGCGGCGAATGTGCGAGGAAGGACTCAGTCGACTTTTTGAAATGCAACACGAAGCAAACAAATCGAAACGACAAGTCCCACTGCGTGCCAGGGGCGTACAAGACTCGCGAACAACGAAACTTGGAATTGGAAGAAGCTGGAAATGCAAATCTTGGAAGTTAAATGGTCAAATTAAATGCTGAAATGCGAAAGTTGTGAAATAAAATCACCAGCGAAGGTAGTGGGGGATAGCGAGGAGGACCTGGCGCAGCAAAATGGAGTCTGCACATGAGTGTGCATGTGCAAATGCGCATGCGGAAACATCTCTTTTTCTGTTTTCTGGAAGTCTGTACTGCCAGAACTGCATGCAGGTACATGCTTTTGAACAGAATATTCATTCATTTACATATTACCGAAGCAATGCATGCAAGAAGATGCACACAGAAGCACTTGTTCACACACTTTGGCGGGCAGCTTACTTTCTCTGCAAGCCAATTCTTTTCTCTGTTGCCTTTTACTTTACTTCCCAGAATTTCACAGACTGAAGAGCCCAATTGGGCCTTCCTGCGCAGCACGTTTCTGCACAAACTAGGGTCTAGGTTTCAGAGATTGGTGGTTCTTGAGGCCCCGAAAGTTGCTGCATGCATGCGCAGCAAAACAGGCACGAGAACTTCAGATTAATGGCGGTAGTTTCATGATATACAGCTTCACTTTAGGCGCTTAGTGTTGAGCCATTCGCTGTGGAGGTAGTCTACACTGCACAGTGAGCTGGGCTCGCCACTCCCCGTGGAATCCACAACGCATTCGACGATAATCGCGAGAATAATACCGTTAAATGCATTATAAATGAAGCATATTGGTATCTCTTGGTTTTTTTGCGGGGATCTGGTTTTTTATTTTGTTCCAAAAGCAGCAGTTTCATTTCGGGGGCCATCCGTATCTCTCAGACCCGATTTGTTTTCCCTCCGCGCACTCCACGCAGCTCACAATTTAAATTCTTTTGATTTAAAAATAACTCGTAATGGCTTTTACATCTTTTTTAATTCAGCTGCGATGGACCACCAAGCAGTTGGCTTTGTTTGGGCCAAACTCATAGACAGATGATGCCCGAAAAGTTGAATTTGGAAAACTTCGAAAACATTTGCACGGAAAATTTGTTCAATTTCCACCAACTATTAAACTTTGAAGCGGCTTTGTGTGTTTGCTGCAAATGGGGCAGCAAAGTTACTTAAGAAATGAAAATTAAAGAGATTTCGCAGGTCAAATTAAAGCAATGGATTCAGTTGTTGCCTCAAAGTGGAAATTGGTAAATGAGGACTGGCTGGGAAACAAAGTTCCGTGGTGGATGAGAGGCGTGGGGAGTGGTTTGTTGTCCACTAATTAATTGTTCTTCAACTAATCATATTAATTGGATTAAATAAAAGTATTTATTTGCAAAGTTCTTGAGGAAACTGCACAAAACTGAACTTCAGATTGGTGCTGCTTGCCAAGGAGCTGCAGACGGTGGGGCCCCCCACCCAATCTTCTTTTTTGAATGCAGCGAAATTCCTTTTGCACTAAAGTGCTGAGCAATTTGTCTCAAGTTCTGTTGATCTGTCCTCTTTGGCCTTTTAATTTCGTGCAAAGGAGACGAAAATGCCACAAAAAATGAAACTCTGTTCTCTTTTGCAAACTTGTTTGGCTGCAAATGCAGGAGAAAGCTGGTGCGGCCAGCCCACAGCGTGACAAGGAAAGCGGGCGAAGTGAATCTGCTGTGGATATATGGCTATAGCTATTTTATAGACCCGAGCATACATCTATGCAAGACCTCGCGGGGGCACAAATCGGGAAGAATCTGTCTTTTGTGGACCTGCATAGAACTCTCCACTTCACCTTTTAAATGTTCTGCAAATAATAAAGTTTGTATTTGATGGGTGCGGCTCCTGTAGCTCTGGTTGATCTCCACGGCTGGACTATCTGGGGTGTCGTGCTGATCGTGTTTTCATTCAGTTAGCTTCTCCACGCGTTGTTAGCTCAGAATAAGGGACAGTGCTTCAACATTGCGCCAAAAATAGTGAGAAAAGTCTAAAATAATAGTTCTTTTGGCTTTGTAATCTTCTTTTCTGTGTGTGCCATGCTGGCTGAGCTCTTCGTGTGCTGCGAGGCTGGGGGCGAGCGAGCAACGCGCAGCAGCGAGGGATCTACGCCTTCCTTACATCACAGCACTAAAAACTAAACGCCAAAAGGCAAATTTAATTCCAATTCAAGAAATAATGCGAATCCGCAGGAAGGTGAAGGGTAGAACTCCGATTGGCCCCTGTGCACGGCTTGCTGGCGCTCGATGATCCCACACAGCGTGAGGGCAAGAGGGCCAAAATAAGCCAGAAAGGCCGGAGTTAACTGGTGCATTTGGCTTTAAAAGAGGATTTTATAATAAAAATTAAATAAAGGAGAGTTGGTTTGTTGGAATGGCACTGAGTTTGCCCCGCTGATGGGCGCGCATCAAACGCTCGACAGCCGACACTGTATGGCGCTGCCGACACGTTGGTCCACCGTGGAAAGCTGCAATTTTCGAAGAGTTGGTTTTTTCCACCATCTCTAAACTATTCAAAGGCATTAAACTCGTGGGAATAACTTTCAAAAGTAGTGTTTACCTGGCCGCCGTGGTCGCGCTGATCCCTGCAGGCCCAGTTTTAGTTCCGCCTAGGGGCAGCAGATTTCTGCAGTTAGCCCTTTCCCCACTCTTTCAAAATCCGTCTCCTCCGTTAATTTACCTTTTTCTTGTAAAGCCTGTTTCGGATCTGGCTGAGAAGGCCTGCTGCGCGCCCCGTGTGGCTGCTGCTAGCTCCCGCTGCCGCTGCAGCTTGCGGGCTCCGAGGAGTGAATTTCCGGGGTTTCTCCCGGATTTTGGCCACAATTGGAAATGGGGGACTACAGCCGCAGCAGCAATGCATGCGAATTCGCCGGAGTGCCTTCAAACCGGCAGGGGCGGGGGCTGCCGCACCGGCGGCCGGGCACAGTGGCAGCAGCAGCAGCAGCAGACGCCGCAGGCATGCGCACGGGGCGCATAACAGAGCTGAACCAGCACACGCGGAAGCGCACAGACTGGCTGCACCGGAAGGGCCGCGAGTCCGCAGCATTTTCGCTGTGCGTGGACGAGGGCAGCAGCGCAGCAGCAGCTGCTGCTGCTGCAGCGCAGCCGCCAGTTTTGCAAAAGAAAAGCCAACTGCGGCACTGCGGAGTCAACGTGGAGGAGCAAAGGCGCCACTTCCAGACCCGCTGGAAACCCGTGGAGGGCAAAATGGCCTTCTGCACTGGCCGGCGAGAAGGCAGTGCTGCTGTTGAATGCGATTATGACTTCATCGACAGAGACAACACTTACCACACTTGGAAGCGAATGAACGAGGGCCAAAGGCACACTGGCTCCCACCTGCAGGCAAGCCTTTGCATGCACCTGCACGACTTGCACTTCGCTGCGGTCTCCGCTTTTCTTCCGCATTTCTCTCTTTAATTTGCCAAAGTTTCTCACTTTCTCACGAGTCCTTTTGCTGAGCTGCATTCTTTTTCCTGAGTTCGCCTTCTTTCTAATGTTTCCGAGATCGGCAGCGCAGCAGCCCCGCTCTGCGCTCCCCCAGCGAAACCAGAAAATATTAAACTCCTTCATTTGTAAAACAAACGAATAAAAAGTCTTTAAAGGACATTTATATGGAACTTGAGACGCTAATTTGCCACTTTTGGGCCTCAGAAACTTGAGCTTGGTGCATGTTCATGTTTCAGTTTGAATGCTTTCTAAAGCCGGTGAACTGCGGCAGTGTAAAGTGAAACCAGTGGCCAACTGGCACTTAAATGCTCAAATAAAAGAAATAAAAGGTTTATTTATGGTTTTAGAGGCCTGAGAAGCTCGAATTTGGGTCTTTTGTTCTGCTTTCTTGCTGCAGTTCGACCGGTTTCTCACTGTGGAAGAGTCCGCAGGCCGCAGCGACCGGCTGCCAGAAGTGCACAACAGGAATCCGCCGCTGCCGAACCTGGACGGCCCTTTTGAAAGGCCGCGGCCCCACGGGGGCAATTTAGACCGCACTTTTATGCCCCGCGAAGACGCGAAACGAAGCGACGACTACATTCAAAAAAACAAGAAAAGTGTTTCCAGCAAGAGCAGCCACCTGCAGCTCTCCACTCTGCACGTAAGCCCCGCAGAAGCTGCATTCAAAAAGGCCTCATAAGCCGAAATTATAAAACAATGCACGAGAGAAGCGCTGCAGGCTGCAGCGCAGGCTTTCAGTTTGCCCAGCCACTGGCGCGTAGCTGGCGGCAGCCACGGGCTGCTGCGCTGCGAATTAGGCGGCTACTTGTGCAGCAAAGCAACGCATTATAATTAATTTAAATAACTAAATTCTTATTTTTGCTGCTGCTGCTGCAGAACGTGACGGGAGTCGACTTTGGGGAAATGCGCCACGGGCTCAAAAGACACCCCTGCGAAGACCACGCCTTCGACTTCGTGTATCCCCCCTCTGCCTCTTGAGCAGCTAATTGTGTTTAATGCAGCATTTGGGAGGGAATTAATTCAACAAGAAGCAGCAGAAGTCCTGGATCTTTTGGGGAATGGTTTGTTCTTGAGCCACTTGCATGCACTACTACACACGAAAGCCCCGCAGACGCGGCCCAGGGTCGCTTCTCGTGGACTTAGCCGAATTATCTCTACTCAGTTTTGTTCTGTTTGCAAATATTGACCTCAGAAACTGCAGAGTGGGCTTTTATATTTGTCCACAGCCCCTGCGGCACTGCAGCAACACTGGCTGCTGCTGCTCGCGCGGCGCAGCAGCAGCAAACCCGCAGTGCGCCGCAGCACAGATTTGGAATTGCAGTTTAATAATTATTCCCACAAGAACATTTACGAATAAGTGCGTTTGCCCTTTATTTGAGGTGTACAGACACCTCACGACACCAAAGGCCACAGCTTTCCGTCCCGACCCGGCCACATCAATTCAAATCTATTTAATTGCTTTTTGCATCAAATCCAAAGAGCAAAACGGTCTCAGTCGAAATTACAAACCCTGAGATCAGCTCTGCTTGTAGAGCAGGAGCTGCGGGCGCAAATGCGTGCGCCTTTGGCCTCTCTTTGGTTTATTTCTATTTATTTGTTTTTGTTTATTTATTTCCCCAAACTTTGCCCAAGACCTTTCCCAAGCTACTACTAGCAGCTGGAGCCCGTGGGGGCCTGCACCTGCAGCAGCAGCAGCAGCGCGTCCTGCAGCAAGCAGCGTGCGCGCCTTTGCTGCTGCGCTGGCCCTGCTGCTGCTGCCGCTGCTGCAGCAGCAGCAGCTGCTGCCGCCGCTGCTGCAGCAGCAGCAGCTGCTGCTGCTGCAGCTGCTGGTGCCGCAGCTGGCGCTGCAGCAGGTCAGTCCTCGTCGATCTTGGGCGCGACGTAGAAGCGGAGGCAGCTCAAGTCCTCCGCGTCGACAGCCATTGCTGCTGCTGCTGCGCTGCAGTGGCCGGGCGGCGGCAGCGGGAAAGTGAAGCGCATGGGAGTGCCTTGAGTCATGGCCACTTCGAGGCGTTCGCAGAGGCTGGCGCCCTTCACGAAGTTCGACAAGTAGCGCACTGCGAAGTCCTGCTCGAAACTCTCGCTGCACTGCATGTCCTGCAGCAGCAGCAGCAGCAGCAGCAGGGCGGCAGCAGCCACGCCAGGTGCTCGGCAAGCAGCGGCGGTGGTTCACTACACAAACAAGGGAACTGACTGCTTGGAAACGAAGCAAAAGGCCACGATATAAACATATATATATCTATATATATAATATGTTTTATATATATATTATATATATATATATATATATATATATGCTATGCTTGTTGGTTACATGTGTGAAGAGGCGCTAATAGCGAGCACATGCGCATATGTAGTTAGTGGGTGGAGATAATTTGCAAAGCACAGGACTTGGTAGAAACAAATTCATTTCGAAAATAATAAATTTAAGAGAGCCTCAAGTATTATTAAAACATATTTGTCAAGCAGCAGCGGCTTCTTTGCATGCACTAAAATATAATTAAATGGACATTTGCGAAATTTCGCTGACTTGAAAATTCGGGCTATTTCAGGTGTACGTACAGGTGCGTGGATGACTCGGGTGACCGCCAAGTTTTCGCCTTTCGCGGAAAGCACAAGAGAATCTTTTTCTCCCCGAATTCTAACTGCAAAAAAAGAAAACAATAAAAATAAATAATAAATGAATTTAAATGGGAATAAACGCGAAATAAAAACAAATGACGCAAACAACGAAGAGCGGAGGCTCCTCCGCAGGCCACTCGACTGCAGCAGCAGCAGTTCTCGCGGCTGCTGCAGCTCTCAAGAAGAAATGCCAAATTAAGTATTATTTTAAATTAAATTAAATTAAAAACAAATAAATCAAAAAAGTAAGAAAGGAAGCAGCCCGTTCACACTGCACTTGTGTCTGCCTGCAGACCCTTGCCAGTCTGCATGCGCTCATTCCAAAACAAACAAACAAATAATAAAACAACAAATAAACAGTAATTCAACAAAGGAGCAATAAAACAGCAAATAAATACTAAACAAGCAGCAAATAGAAAAAAAGCGAGTGCATCTGTTGCAAAGTCCCACCGCTTTCCGCAATGGAGTGTATGTACCGCAGCAGCTCCTGGAACTCCTTCGCGTCGACTGTACAGACACACGAATAAGGCTCTTCCGGAATCCGCAGCCGCTCCTGCACAACTGTCAGCAGCGCCACTTCCATGTGCCAGGTGTCTGTACACCCCAGCAAACGCAAACAGCAAACGAGCACGCGGGGCAAGCCCCTTACACGCCCTGCTGCTGCCCCTACTGCTCCTGCTGCTCTTGCTGCTGCTGCCGCAGTTGCTGCTGCTGCGCCTCTTGCTGCTGCTGCTGCTGCTGCCGCAGTTGCTGCTGGTGCTGCTGCTGCTGCGCTGCATGGATTCTGGCTAGGCCTGCATTATGCAATTGCGGCATGTGTGAGTTGCATGCAGCGGCATGGAAATGCATGCAGATAATTACCTTTAAATTTATATAAATGTAAAAACAAAAAATAAAAATGTTTTCACTTGGCAGTATTTATGTGCACGTCCACGCACACGATTGAAGGCCTAAAGCTCGAATTTAATTGCAATTTAATTGCCCATTTAATTCATTTAATTAAATGATGAAAGGAATGGCAAATGGACGACTTGGGGAGCGGCAGCAGCTGTACGTACACCCGAGCCACGGCTCCGAGCAGCCTCGCCCGAGGGTCGGGCGAAAGCGGAAATGGCAAATAAATGACCAAAACAAGCAGAAAAGCAAACAAAACACACAAATAAACGAATATAACAAACAAATAAACAAATAAAACGAAAAACTAAACAAATAAATGGAAAAAACGAGCCAAGAAAGTGGAAAATGAAGACAGTCGACGCACCTGTCCGCTCGGGATCCTCGATGGCTATGTGCAGCACTTCGCCGTCTTCGTCGCTTCCCTTCAAAGTCGAAAGATGAACAATTTGTTTGTTCGACTTCACCGGCTGCAGCGCCTTCAGCAGCGTCGGCACGGACAAACCTGCACACGCAGCAGCAGCAGCAGCAGCAAAAGCAGCAGCAGCATTGCAGCAGCAGCATTGCAGCAGCAGCAGCAGCATTGCAGCAGCAGCATTGCAACAGCAGCAGCAGCATTGCAGTAGCAGCATTGCAGCAGCAGCAGCAGCATTGCAGCAGCAGCATTGCAGCAGCAGCAGCAGCATTGCAGCAGCAGCATTGCAGCAGCAGCAGCACTGCACCAGCACTGCAGCAGCTTTGCAGCAGCAGCAGCATTGCAGCAGCAGCACTGCAGCAGCAGTACCTAGGGTGACTTGGGCGTCGCATCTGTACTTGTGGAAAAGGTCGATTCCCCAGTGAGTGCTGACGAGGGCCACGTGGCTGTCGTCCATGGCCTGCATGCAGCAGCCCTCAGCGTCGCAGACGAAGTTGACTTCTGCGCAGGTGTCTTTGAGGGCTTCGAAGATTCGCCGCAGCGTCAGCCCGTCCAGGCTGCACTCGAACATCTTCGCTGCAGCAGCAGCAGCAGCAGCAGCAGCAGCAGCGGGGGCTGCCAGCACTCCGTAAGGCCGGTTTTGGAGCCCCGCGAAGGCCCCGGCGAAAGCGCTGCGCAGACAGCGCACAGAACGCGGGGAAAGCTGAACGGAAGTGGAATGCACTTGCAGAATGCGCGGCTTCCGCGGGGAAAAGGGGGTCTACAAACTCGAAACTATAAATTAAAATGCATTTTAGAATTAAATGGAATGAATATGCACTATTTGGAGCCTTTTAACTCACTCGCAGTGTGCAGGAGGGAAACGCAACTGCGCCGCTGACGCTGCCTTCGGCCGCGGCACAGGAAGTCGCTGCTGCAATCAAAAGACGAGAAAGCTCTTGTTATTTGTTATCAAAAACATTATCAAATAGAGTTTGTTCGGTTTTGAATTTAAAAGATGCAAATGAACTCCCACACACGCACGATCAGGCGGCATGCCCACGACTGTTGGGGGTGGTGGGGTTGGTGGAAGTCCGACTCAATTTTCGACCCCACCGACCCCTCTTATTCTCAAATACATTTTAAATGAATTTATAAACAACAAAAAATAATTAACGTTTGAAATAAAGAAAGATTAATGTCTAGCCCGGGCACAACGAGCGAAAGCTGCACAGAACCGGCAACTGCTCGCAGCCGACAGGTGATCACGCCTCGATACTGTTTGGAAGCAGGAAAACGACTGCGTTTCACCTTTTTTTTGTTTTTCACATTTAAATTTTATTTATTATTACTTTATAAAGCATAATAGACAACATTATACGAAAAAGTGACGAATCGGCTCCATGGATACCTGTTTCTCCGTCCACCCCCCTGCGCTACAGCCGCCTCTCCTAAGCAGGAATCCTCCTGTGTCCCTGCCAACAACTTAGTTCCAGATTATAAAATAAGAAGAATAGAATGCAATTAACTAAAAGAGAAGGACCCGGATAGATTGGAGACTCCCTAATGGGTCTGTTCAGGCCAAAATGCCTCTGCAAGGCTCAGCCAACTACAGCCAAAGAGGAATCCCGCGGGTAGACGCGACCAGAAAGAGCACCTCAATAGGCTTCCTCTTCGCACCGATTAAATGCAGATAATCAACAAATAATAAATGGACTGAAATGACTGCGAAATTTGGCGGCTTCTCTTAGCTGGGGAGAGCCCTAAGAGCACAAGAGAGAGAAGAAAAAAGGAAATCGTCTGAGCTCACTATTTCACTCTCTGCCACTCTCTGCTCAGTTAGATAAACTGCCCCTTACTCTTCATTTTATTTCTTTTGTGAAATAAAAATAAATAAGTAAAGACGCAACAAGACTCAACTTGACTTCGCCCGCCAGCTGATGGCTTTGTGCAAAGATGAGAAAAGCGCCTTATACTTGCTGCTGAATGTTCCCGCAATCAACATTTTGCCTAAATTTGGGAGATAAATTCGATTAGTTTGATTTTTTATTTATTTGCAAACAGTGAAAGTACACAAATGACTAAATGCCCGTCTTTGAGCTGTTCTGCTTTCGAAACAAACTGGCAAAGAGGATATTTGTTATCCTCTGGCCTATGAGCATTGCTGTATCTTTTCAGATTTATTTTTTCTTACTAGAGCCCAACTCATTTGCCATTTCCTCTGTACAGGACAGAGATAAACTCACTTGCATGCATTATATATATGTGGATTTCAAGTCTGACTTCCTCTCAGAGTGAAACCAGAGAACAGTGAAACTGCAAAGAGCCAAAACAACAAGGAAAAGCTGCTGGCTGGCTCTTTTGGCAGCAGCCTTTTTTTCACCTTTTTTTGTTTCTTTAGTTTATTTAGTCTTTTCTGGACTTCTGTAGATCTTTCTTTTGTTTGTACCTTCTCTGGCTGAGCTGCTGGAGCTTTCAAAGCCTCTGTGCAGCCCGCGGGCAGTTCTTGCTGGTTGAGTTTGGCTTTTCAGCAGCTTATTGGGAAATTTCAGAAAAGGTGTTGGGAAATAATAGGAGAGAAAGGCAATTTTAATTCGGACATATTTCTTCGGGGGCCATTTTGCTCTTTTCCCGCTTTTCAAATTAATTCGTAGCTGCCTTAGCACCGTTTTTCTTAGACCCGCCTTCCCTCCCGTTGAAATCTTCTTTTTTCTTCAAATTTGATTTATCAAAGATGTATTTTCATGTAAATGAACTCCAGAATGGTTGCGTTTCAGAAAAAGTCCGCTGTCGCTGTGCCTCACGGCATATTCTTATGGATGTCAGCCTCGACATTGCATTCAGCTTTCCTTCGCTTTCTCTCCCCAAGAAAACCGAAGTCTTGAATTCAATTGAAATGAAATTAATTCAATAAAACTAATTAAGAGCCTATTCTTGAGGACAAACGTGCTTGTCGAAGCCCATTCGTACTCAAAAGAGGCTCTTGAGTTATTTCTTTTGAGTTAAATTCAAGTTTTCGTTTCCTGAAATCTAGGAAACAAAGTTCAATACAATTGACGGCTACCATCTGCAGCCGATTGGGCAAGTAAAATAGGCCACGACAAGGCAGCAGCTACTTATTTAATGCGACAAAACAATTAACTTTTCAAAATACAAAATAAGGATTAAGAGGGTCCAGCATTCTTCTTGAAACAAGAAAAACTTGCAATTCTGCAACTCTAGAGCTGCATGGGTGGGGAGAAGCAACGCAGTGCACCAGAATGCACTATAACTTTCAGAAAATGTCCAAAATGAAGGAATTAATAAATTGAAATGAGTCCATGAAGGCTTTTGCTGCTGCTTCGCAGAAAGGCAGCACATAAGAGCGATTAGGCGCGAGCTGGGCGGCTGTCTTGCTGTCCATTTCAGCTGTAGGGTTTACGGTTTAGGGTTTAGGGTTTAGGCCCCTCTAGAGACGCGAAGGAGAATCAGAACAGCAATAAGATTGAGGTAAGCTGTTCGGCTCTTCTTCATTTCCGAAGAAATTGCAAACAGACAGCTTCCTTTGGTGCATTTCAGCTTTTACTTTCTTTGCTTGAAATGAATTTCCCGTGGGAGTTCAGCAGCTAGCTCTCCCCCAAATTCCTCCATCATAATGTCCTTTTGGGGACTTCTCAAGCTTCTTCTATTGTTGTATTATTTCTAGAATCCATAAATGGGGCTTCTGGTTTTAAGTTTTGCACAAATTCCTCCAATGGCGCCCAGCTTCCTGCATAGGCTTTGATTTGCTGGCAGCATCGAAGTGAACTATGTATTTGGCTGCCTCGCCACGAACTCATGGGGAAAGCGCCACAGTTTTTGATTTTTTTAGCTTTATTTTCATCCCTTTTCTACTTTTCTGCACTTTCTGGGGGATAATCATGGCATTTATTGCCATTTTAGTTTTGCTTTCGTCGCCTCCCCCATGTCCGCTCCTGCTGGGGGAGGAGCGTTGGAACTCAACCTGGCCGTCCAGGGTGGCTCCAAGAGTTTCCTTTCCGTGAAATGAAATAATATAATCAACTCAATAATATAATTTCATTAGCATTTGGAAAGAAGCGCAGATCTCCACGTTAATCGCGGCGCCGATCTAGCGGCTGTGCTCAGGACTGAAAGACAGCTATCTCCCAGTCTCGAACGAGTTTCGCCTAATTTTGTTCGCTAGAGAGGCTTCTGAGCCTCCTATGAGGCTTTGTTTTCTGTTTTCTTTCGCGGAATATAAATATTTTCGAGGAAAGCGCGCAGAACATAGCCAACCTCTGCAGCTTCCTGGGAAGATCGCCCTAGCATCGACACTAGCAGCAATCAGGGCCGCTGCCCCTTCATTGCACTGTGTCCCGAACGCAGCACAAATAAATCCCTAAAGTGTTTGCCAGCGGTGTTAAACCTGTTTAACTGAATTGTTTGCAGATTTGCTTTTGTTTTGCTGCTCTCTGCCCGCATCGACCTCGGAGGACTCCCTGGGAGCCCCGTAGACACCTGCGTCTCTTTTCGCCAGGGCAGCAGCTCGAAACAAAGTCTGCGGTTTGGTGCTTCCAGATAAGCAGCATTTATTTGCGGGTAATAAAGGGTTTTGCTTCTTTTAGGGTCTGCGAAGCAGCAGCAGCAGCAGCGGGAGCAGCAGCAGGAGGAGCGGAAGCATCCCCAGCGGAGGAGCGCGGGCGGAAGCGGGGGAGTTGTGGCTGCGGCGGTGTGCAGGCGAAGCACTTGGAAGTATTTTCGCGTTTGTGAACGACTTTGGCTTATTTGCATGCAGTAGTTGTGTCCGAAGGCGCTGGGCTGCGCGGGTTTTGGCTGCGGGTGGCGCTGCTGCTGCTGCTGCCGCTGCTGCTGCTGCTGGGTGCCGCGAACGGGGAAAGCAGCACTTTCCGTGGGGATTTTTGCGCGATTTTTGGCCAAGTTTTTGAAAATGGAGTTTTCGACGGAAAGCTGGGCCTTCGAGACGCAGGACACGCAGACGCACACTGCGGGCGGGGGCTCGGACTTTGAGCTTTCCACCATTCGCGACGGCTCTCTGCGGCAGCAGCAGCAGCAGCAGCAGCAACGGGGCCAGCGAGGCAGCAAAGGGAAGCAGCGCGGGAGTTCTCTGGCGGGCGACGAGGTTGCGGGGACGGAGTCGGAGGGGGCGACGCTGGAGACGGGGGCAACAGCAGCAACAGCAGCAGCAGCAGCAGCAAAAAGCATCTCTGCGCGCCGCTCGCGCTGGAGGGGACGCGTGGGCCTCTCCCTCGTGCTGCTGGGAGCAGCACTGATGGCCCTGGCCAGCAGAGCCCGCAGCAGAAGAGCCACAAGCTGGACGCAGCAGCAGCTGGATTCTGCTGCTGCTGCTGCAGTTGTGGACGAGGCGTACAGACAGCTGGCGGGCTCGGGGAACGTGTTCAACCTCACGGACCCGCAGCTGGTGCGGCACGACCCTGCAGCAGCAGCAGCAGCAGCAGCAGCGGAGGACAGCTTGCTGGACACTCTGCGGCAAGTCTGCTTCTGGCGCAGCAAAGAAAGCTTCCCGAGAAGTCTGGCCAACTCGATTGTTGCTGCAGGGACGGGAGCAGCAGCAGTGGCAGCAGCAGGGCCCGCTGAGCAGGCCTCGCGCGTCGCCGGAGCAGCAGCAGCAGCAGCAGCGCCAGCAGCAGCAGCAAGGCTCACCGCAGCTCCTGCTGCTTGGCAGCTGGTGCAGCTGCGGGGGCTGCGGCTCTTCGAAGAAGTGTTGCAGCTGGAGACGAAGACGGGAGTGGCTCCTTACGACCCTGTGCGTGGGGGCTTCGGCCCGGAGCAGCAGCAGCAGCAGCAGCAGCAGCAGCAGCAGCAGCAGCAGCAGCAGCAGCAGCGGGGGGACGAGGAGCAGCAGGAGGACGAGGAGCAGCAGCGGGACGAGGGGCAGCAGCAGCGGCGGGAGCTGCAGCAGCAGCAGCAGCGGCTGCCGCTGCTGTACCAGGCGCTGGAGGACTGGGCGCGGGAGATGGAGGAGCAGCTGTTGCTGCTGCGGGAGCAGCAAGCAGCAGCAGTGCTGCAGCAGCAAAAGGGGCCGAAAAGCGGCGGAAAAAGCGGGAAAAAAGGCGGCGGCGACGGCGCTAATGGCACTAATGACATTAGTGGCATTAGTGGCACTGGTGGCGAACAAACTCCCGAAAGTTTGATGCAAACTCCTTACTTCCGGGAGCTAAATGATGCCATTTTCGTGTACGGACAGTTCCGCAAACTCGCCAGCAGCTGGTCTGCTGCAGCGCCGCCCGACGGCCTCTTCGAGAGCGACCGCCAAGTGCTGTCGCGGCGGGCGGTGTCTGCTGCAGTGTTCAGCTGCTTCGCGTCTTCGCTGTCGAAGCCCAGCAGCAGCAGCAGCAGCAGCAGCAGCAGCAGCAGCAGCAGCAAGAGCGCCGTGGAGCTCGGCCAGAACAGGTTCGTCCCCGGCTTCGTCCTCTACTTGTTCTCCAACCAGAGAGACACAACTCCTTCTTGTCTGGCGCGGCTGCGGCAGGCGCTGCAGCTGCTGGGGCCGCCGCCGTTTGCTGCTGCGGGGCAGCAGCAGCAGCAGCTGCAGCAGCTCGTCGACGCGGGGCTGCAGTTCGCGGCCAAGCGCAGACGCGCGGGAGAGCTGCATGCAGAGCTCGAGTTCCTGGAGGCCAACTTGGAGCCGCAGGGGGCTGCTGCAGCAGCAGACGGGGTCCTCCTGGCGCGGCTGCAGCAGCAGCGAGCAGCAAAAGCTGCTGCAGCAAGGACTGAACTCCAGGCCCTGCTGCGGGAACTCTTCGTCGTCGAGCTGCAGACAGACTTGGCCCTGGCCACCTTCGACGTGGGCAAGCTGCAGCAGCAGTTTGCTGCTGCGCTGCGGCGCGTGGAGGCGGCCGCGGCGCCCGGCGCAGCAACTGCAGCAGCAGCAGCAGCAGCAGCAGCAGAAGCAGCAGAAGCAGCAGCAGCGGCGCTCCGCGCCGCCAAACAAGACCTCGCAGCAGGCCTCGACCGCCAGGGCACCACGGCCTCCGCCTGGATCAAAAGACTCGAAAGAAATGCGAAAGAAGCAGCAGCAGCAAACCTGAGTCCGCTGAGTCCCGAAGAAGCAGCAAAACTCAAGACCTTCATGCAGCACTTTGCAAACAGGGCGCTGCTGCACAAGGCCCTGCTGCACCTCCGAGCTGCTGCAGCAACGGGCGCGCAGGAGCCCGGAGCAGCAGAAAATCTGGCCAAGACGAAGTCCCTTGCTGCTCTGGCCCACGTGAACATCACTTCTGCTGCTAGGGGCCCGCTGCAGCAGCAGGGCATCCTCCCCTCCTGGATCGGCTGTTCGGATGAGGAGCCTTTCTTCAGAAGCGTTTAAATTCAAAACTTTCTTCAAACGCATTTAATTTTAACTAAATGCCCTAAGGAGCTCCACACGGCTCCAAACGGCACCCCAGGGGGCCCCGGGGCCCCGGGGGCCCCAACTCAGGCGCAGCCAGCAGAAGTGGAAAACCGGCAAATCGGCCAAGATTCTCGCCTTCTCGGGTTACTTTCGACTTCTTGAGTCATTTTGCTTTTAATTTGTTGAATTTGTTGCGGAGGTCGGGGGTTATTCGAGGGAGATCGCGACCAAACGCTGCGAAACGGAACTGCCGAGCCTATTTGAATGCACCTTCTGCAGAAGCCCCGAAGCTGCAGGTTCGGGCTTCCCCCACGCCTCTGAGATTGCATGCGCTGGGGAGACTCTCGTGGGGAGGAAATAAAACAGTTTTGACGACCTCTGGACCGGTCTTCGTTCGCGAGTGCGTGTGCTTGGGGTGTACGTACAGCAAAGGAAAGAGCCCGACAGATACACAAGTATTTGTCTTTAGCCAGAAGCCTCCAGAGTGCATGCAAATATTAAAGCCCCCAGAGCGAAGAAGCCTCTTCAGCTTCCACAAACAGCTGCATGCAAAAGTGGGTCTGCTGCTCCAGTGGGTCTTTCAGAGTCTTCAACCTCGCCTTACTCCTCCCAGCAGCAGCCCGGGGGGCCCCGGAGGCCCTTTAGAGGCTGCGGGGGCCCCACAGTAGGGGGGCCCCACAGTAGGGGGCCCCCATGGGGCCCCCACAGTAGGGGGGCCCCACTTTTAGTGGGGGCCCCAGTGGGGGGCCCCAGGGGGCCCCCCAGTGGGTGCATATGGATGTGGGGGGCTCTGAAGTTTGGGGGACCCTTTTTTGTCATTCTTGGGGGCCCCCCTTAGCAGGTGTGGGGCCCGGGGCCCCCAGGGGCCCCCGGGGGCCCCCTGGGTGTGCAGGGGGCCCCAAAGAGGGCCCCAGCGGTGTTGTGTTGAAGTTATTTTGACTTGTGTTGTCAAGAGGGGCATTTCGCGTCAAAAAAAAGGTATTTGGATGTAAAAAATGCTGCATTTGCATGCAAAAAGATGCATTTGCATGCAGAGGGGTATTTGCGTTTGCGTTGGAGAATAAAACGCGGAAAAGACAAAAAGAAAACAAAAAGACAAAAAGGAAAGAATTGAAATTAAGTTTCGGGAAGTGCTCAGACAGCAAATTCGACTAAGTCCTCGAGCTATGGACCACTGGTCACCTGAGTGGACCACTGGTCACTTTGCTCATTCTAAGAGCAGCAGCTGCTGCTGCAGCTGCTGCTGCAGCCCCGCTCCTGCTGCTGCTGCGGCAGCACCCGCCGCTGCAGCGCCAGCCAGCAGTGCAGCAGGAACGCCTGCTGCAGCAGCCTGCACAGGAGCGGCAGGAACAGCCAGGGCCTGTGGGGCAGCAGCAACGGCTGCTGTGGGTGCAGAGGCAGCTTGCAGCTGCAGCAGCAGCTGCAGCAGCAGCTGCTGCTGCTCCGTCTCCAGCACCGGGCGCTGCAGCAGCAGCAGCAGCGGCTGCTGCCGCTGCTGCTTCTGCTTCGCCCTGCCGTTTGGCGGTCCTTTCAAGGTGCTGCTTCCTGCTGCTGCTGCAGCTGGAGACTCCCGAGCGGTCTTCTTCGATTTTGTTTTATATTATACTTTCGCTGGATTTTTTATTTCCTTTGTAGTTGCATCTGCCTGTGCTGCTGCTGTGCTGCTGCTGTGCCGCTGCTGAGGCGATCTCTTGTTTGTGGCCACTTCGAGGAACTTTCAAAGTCTAGTTCACTTCAAGCACTTCTTCCGAAGTCCATTTCCTTTATTTTAAAACTTATCTTAATTTTAAAATGTAATTTGCTTTTCCATTTACTTGAACAGCAAATAGTAAAGGCAGGCCAGACACCCCAGGAAGCCCGGGCCGATGGTGCCCCAGTGCTGAACAGAAAGCGCAGCAAAAAGATCTGAATTCCTCCAAATAAGTAAACTAAAATACAAAATAGAATATTATAAACAGTATTATTATAAAATGGGACATTATAGAAGAGAAAGGAAACAAATCAAAGCTGGAAACCCGAAAAGAAGCGGAAGTTGAACAAGTTGAATGCAGCAAAACAGAACCAAAATAGATATTTGAACAGAACAGATATTCGAAAAAAGTTGAATTAAATTTGTTTGGAGTTGCATTAAACTTATTTGAAATTAAAAAGTTAAAAATTCATTTAATTCAAATCTGAACTTGAACTCAAGTTGCCTCACGTCTGACGCCATCGCCACCAAGACAGAAACGGAAAGCGACACACTAATGACTTTCTTCAGCGTCGCTGCGAACAGAAACAAAACCTCTTAATTCAAATTAAAAAAGGGTTTGAGACATACTTTTAATTTAATGGGGGTTTAGGGTTTAGGGTTTAGGGTTTAGGGTTTAGCAGTTCGGGTTCCTCCTTATGGGGCATCGCTATGAAGGGCGCGCTTTCCGCATTTTGGAATTACGAATTTGTTTGTTTTTGAAACTGATTTACTTGCTGTATTATTAATTTGTTTTTAAAATTGATTGATTTATTTTTATTTTTATTTTTATTTTATTTTGAAATTGTTTGATCAATTCGTTGGGAACTCACGGTGAGGTGACAGCAGAAACAGCGAAGGCCAAAAGAGGCAAATTTTGGCGGCCAAGGCGCCGACGACGACATCTGCAGCAGCAGCGCAGCAGCAGGAAGAAGCAGAAGAACAAAAAGCAAAACAAACAATAAAATATAAATGAAACAATAAATTAAAAACAAATAATTAAATATTTCTAATAGTTTGCTTTTTATTATTTATATTTGTGCACAGAAACAAAAGCGAAAGAAAACCTGCAGCAACAACGAAGGCCAGAGGCAGCTCGCCGAATAAATAAAGAAACAAAAAACAAAATAGAATTAAAATAAAAAAATTAAATAATAAACTAAATAAATTCAAAATAAAAGAAATTAAAACGAAAATAAACAAAAAACAAAAAAGATTTGACCAAGACACTAAACGAACCTTGACGCAGAAGCGCGGTGTACAGAGAGGGCGAAGCGCCGAAGAAGCTGCAAATAAAGACAAATTAATTCAAATACTTATAAATAAATTAATAAATATAAACAAATAAATAAATTAATAGATTTATTTATTGGTTAGATGAGATCTAAATTGAAAAATAAACAAAAACACAAGGAGTAATTTGTGAGGCTATTTGTGAGGCTAGAAGCACCCAAATAGGAAGAATAAAAAGAAAAAAAGGCAAAAAGAAATGAAAGAATAATAAAAATAATAAAAAATGAAACAAAAATAATAAAAAATAAAACAAAAATAATAAAATTAAAAAGAATGCGGAGGAAAACAGATCCAGGCCAAGAAGCTACAGCAAAGCACCTCGGAAAACAGAAAAGTTCTGAAAAAATAAAGTGAATTAAATGAATTAAATGAATTAAATGAATAAAATGAATTAAATTAAAACAAACTCACAATTGAGTGAGGGATTCAGGTGTAGATACAGAAGAGAAAGGCAAGAAAACGAGACAGAAATAAAAACTGAACACTAAAGCCAGCCGCGCCCACAGTCTGCCTTCTTCCTGCAGCAAAGCAGCAGAACAAATGCAAACAATAAAAGAATTCATTCAATTCTTTTAATTTTAAAATTAAAAGAATTAAATTAAACTTTAATTCCTTTTAGTTCCTTCGAAAGTGCCAACAGCTCAGCTGACACAAATGCGCAGCAGCAGAAGCAAAAAGAAATGAAAACAAATTCTTCTAAAACCCAAACTTTGAAAAATAAAATATATTTCAAATATTCAAATAAAAATAAAAGATTAAATGCAGCAGCGCATGCAAAGTGGCGAAAGTTGAAAAGTTGCAAATTTGAACACTGCAGCAGCTGTGCATGCAGATGCATGCATGCATGTCTGGGGTACAAATAAATTCAAACAAAAGAGTTTTAAAATGTTTAAATAAAATTATATTTAAACATAAACATTTGTAAGTATGAAATAGTGGCAGCAGCAGCAGCTGGAAAGGTTCAAGTTTGCTGCTGCTCACTCTGTTAGCAGCAAATAAGGACAGCAGCAGCAGCCGCGGCTGGCTGAAAACGCCAGCAGCAGCAGCACCCAAGAAGGCAGCAAGCAGCGGCCCAACAGGGCTTTCAATAACATCGAAGATGAGCCCATTTGCTGCTCCTGGCGCTGCTGCTGCTGCTGCTGCTGCTGCTGCGGCGGCGAGCGCGGCCCCGAGCGCGAAGGGCAGAGCCGCGAGAGAAGCAGCAGCAACTGCAGCAGCAGCACCTGCTGCAGCAGCAAGCAGCAGCACGTCGTACAGAGGAGCTTCAAACAGAAAAAAGCCGAAGCAAACAAAAGCCAGACACCAGCGCATTGAAACCAAAGACACCCAGCCCTCCGCAGCAGCTCCTATCGCCATTTTCTGCAGCAACACACAGCAGCAGCAGCAGCAGCAGCAGCAGGAGTGGATCTGATGAGGAAGCGAACACCGAGAACAACGCACAGAGGCGCATGCGCTGTGGATGGAAAGATATACAGAATATAGCCACGCGCTGCTGCAGCAGCAACAGCAGCAGCAATAGCAGCAGCTGCTGCAACAGCAGCAAAGTCTGCATGCGCTTTAAAGTATTACAGGGGAAAACGGATAGTGTGCACAAGAGTGCTGCTGCAACAAGAACTGCAGCAGCCTACACCAAAACGAGCAGCAGCAGCACCAAGAGCAGCAAATACAAAACAGCAGCAGGAAGAGGACAAACAACAACAACAGCAGGAGAAACAGCAGCAGCAGCAGCAGTAACAGCAGCAGCACAAGCAGCAGCAGAAACAGCAGCAGAAGCAACGGCAGCAGCAGAAGCGGCAGAAACAATAGCAGCAGCAGAAACAGTAGCAGCAGCGGCAGAAACAGCAGGAGCAGCAGAAACAGCAGGAGCAGCAGCAGGAGAAACAGCAACAGCAGCAGCAGCAGCAGCAGCAGCAGTGTCTCACTGGGTCTGCGGCGAAAACGACGAAGTTTAGAGCCAAGAGGAGCGGCATGAAGCCGAAGATGCAGACGTGGTTGAAGTTGAGGAAGTGCAGCAGCAGCAGCAGCAGCAGCGAGGCGAGGAGCGGCAGCAGCAGCAGGTGCTGCAGCACGAAGCGAGCAGCAAAGCCCCTGGGCCCCGCAGCAGCGCCGGCGTGCTGCCGCTGCTGCTGCTGCGCCTGCTGCAGCAGCAGCCCCGCAGCGTAGAGCACGAGGGGCGCAGCAACAAGCCAGACGACCGCGCTGCTGCTGCTGCAGTAGAATGCATGCAGCAGCAGCCTGCGGAGCTTGAGCTGCTGCCAGGCTGCAGCAAGCCAGTCTGTGGCTGCTGCTGCTGCTGCTGCTGCTGTGCTGCTGCGGCTGCGGACGAGAGCCACGGGGGCAAAGGCAGCAGCAGGAGATATGCAGATCTGAGCAGCAGCAAAAGCGCTGCGGCGCAGCAGCAGCGGCAGCAGCCGGAAGCCACAGAAGCTGGCCAGCGGGGCCAGCAGCAGCAGCAGCGCGGGGGCCCTCAGGAGGGCCCTGGGGGCCCCCAGGGGGCCCCCCCGCAGCAGCAGCGCCGCCTCTTCGCCGGCGCAGCGCAGCAAAGTAGCAGCAGCAGCAGCAAAAAGACCCAAGTACCCAGGGCCTCCAGAGTCTCCTCGAACTACATGGACACAAACCATTAAAACAAAAACTGGAAAACAAACAAACAACATGTTGGAAAACTCCGGATAAGGCAGAGGCCCGAAGGCCCCCGACAGAGACTCCGCCATTCTCCCGCTGCTGCTGCTGCTGCTGCTGCTGCTGGTGCTGGTGCTGCTGGTGCGGGAGGTGTGTTGCTGCTGCTTGTATTTCTGTCGCTGCTGCTGCTGCTGTTTTTGCCGCTGCTTTGGAGGCACCTGCGGGCACGGGGGAGCAGCAGCTGCTGCTGAGACGCTGCTGCTGCTGCTGCAGCAAAGCGGGTTTGCGCCCGTGTGGCCGGGAAGCCGAGCTGCACACAGAAGGAGGCTCGGCGGGCGCGGAGGGGCTGCTGCTGCTGCTGCTGCGGACTTTGTGGGCAATTTCTGCAGCTCTGGCCAGTCGGAAGTGATTTCTAAAAGAGAAAGTGGAAATAAAACAAAATTCATGACCCGGGAACTCGCGCTGGAGCCCGGCAGCCGGAGGATCTGGGCTTCCGCGCTGCCGGTCGCCAGCAGCAGACCGCCGCCGCAGCAAATGCGACGGGCCGGCCCTGAAAGGAGTGAAACTGAGGAAAAGAAGACCCCAATTGTTTTATTCTGCGCAAATTCAAAAGCTGCTGCCGAGATCAGCTGTGACGGGAATGAACATGCAGCGGGGAGCCGCGCAGTCCAGGCGGTGGAATTCGGGCGAAACTCGGGTGTCTGCGCATACACCGCAGACTCGCTCGCGGTACGCGAAACTTTTTTCAAATTGCAAACTTCAGATTTAAAAAAAGAATGTTAGCAGTTAAAAGAAACGAAAATGGCGCGACTTGAGCCGTGGGGCGGTGACCCGATGTCTTGCTGTACAGGTCTTCTTCGCTGCGGCGCTTCAACTTAGCAGCTCTTGTGCAATTTAAATTAGTTTCTTTTGTTTTTTTTATATAAAAATAATAAATTCAGGTTTTTAAAGCGTTAGACGCAAAATGAAGTAGAAGATTCGTCTCGAATTTGGGAATTTGTTTGCGCTCGAGTTCCCATTTGCCCAAAATGCATATTTCCGGAATTTTCCCAAGACCAATTAACTCTCTATGTCCACCAAATCAACTTAATGACTTAAGGCCAATTAGCTGCAACAGCAGAAGCCAAAAGCATGCAGCAAAGGCCTCAACAGCTGCAGCAGCTTCGCCAAACTGCAACAGCAAACTTCCCGAAGAAGTAATTCAACTTCTGCAAACAGCTTCTGCTGCTTCTCACTCATATAAAGCTCTCTGGGCTCTTCCTGCTGCACCCAAAGCTGCAGGGCTTTGAACAAAATGCTTTTGTTGATTTAATAATAAAACAAAAAACAAAAATTCGGTGAAGACAGAACTCTAGAAGACACAATTGCATGCAGTCTACAGCTGCACTCGACTCGAGCCGCGCTCGAGGGCTTTTGAATGAATATATTATTCATATATCTCATAATAATATATATATATATAATATTATATGTATATAGTATATATATATACATGTGTATATATATATATATGTAGACTCAAGACCCTAAGTTTACTTTTGCTCAGTCCCTCACAGCCAACGATTAGCTAAGCAGCAGCAGCAGCAGCAGCAGCAGCAGCTGAGTGAACAGCAGCAGCAGCAGCAGCGAGCGTACTAAGACGCGCTGCATGCATCCCTTCTTCCCCGGGGCTGCTTAGCGGCTCTGCTGCTTTCTGGAGCAGGAGGAGCAGCAAAAACCTCGAAAGTTTTCAGGAAGACTGAAGCTAAGAGGAGTTAAAAGGAAATAAGTGAAGAGCTCTGCAGCGCGGGGACTGCAAGCTGCTGCTGGAGCTGCGCATACACCTGAACGGCGCTTGGCTTGCGGCTCCCCGTGAAGGACAAAACCTGCTTTTTAGTTTCCGAAGTCCAACTTGGTTAAATAAGTTCCCATTATATAAATAAGTTTATATTCCATTAATAAAGCTTGCAAGAAGCCCCGGCTGCAGAAATGGCAGCAGTTCTGCTGCTGCTGCTGCTCGTTCCTGCGCCGCCTGCTGCGCCTCCCCGGCTGCTGCTGCCGGCAGCTGGGAACTAAGAAGTCCGCAAAGAAAAGAGAATGAGAAATGATAAAAGGAAATAAAAAGAAAAAAGAATGCAACAAACCCGAACTTCAACTGTCTTGCTTCGGTTTCCGCAGCGAAGGCCGTTCGAAGTCGTTGGCGCCTTTGATTCCTGAACAGCCCAAAGGGGAAACACGCGGAAAATCTCAGCTTTCTGTTTCCAGGTTGAATTAAATGAAAATAAATGCAAAATTTGGTTCAAAATGGTGATTTATTCCGCTAAATTCCGCAGTTTCCACCAGCTTTCCGCGGCCTCGAGAACTTGAACTTGAACTTGAACTGCGCAGCAGCGCAGCAGCGCAGCGCCGCAGCAGCGCTGCAGCAGCAACTCACCTGCTGCTTTCTTCAGCAGCTTCTGTCCCTGCAAGTCTCGCGTGGCCTGGGCCCAAGGATGAGACAAATCCGAAGTGTCCACATCCACCAAGTGGGTGTGTTTGCTGCGGCCCCCGCGGGCCAGCTCGCCGCGCCGCAGCTGCAGGATCTTCGGCAAAGTCTTCTTGTCCACTTTGTCTTCCCTGCAGCAGCAGCAGCAGCAGCAGCAGCGCAGTTGGCTCCCGCTGCGCCCTCTGCGTCTGGACGCAGCAGCCACTGCAGCAGCAGCAGCAGCTGCTGCTGCTGCTGCTGGTGAGGGAAGCAACTTGACACACGTACCCAACAGGGGCGTTGAAGTCCCGCAGATATAAAGGCTCTTCTCCGCTGCGCGCCAGGTCTTGGAAGAAAGCACCCTGGAGGGAACAGCAGCAAACAGCAGCAGCAGCGCAGCAGGCAGCAGCAGCGCAGCAAACAGCAGCAACACGCTTAAATTTCAAAGGCAAAACCGCACAGCTTTCTGCATTTATTTGCTCAAACGCAGGCTATAAAGTGCATTTACTTGCAACAAAGAGAAAAAGCCAGCAGCAAACGAGGCGGCTGCACGCGCGCTGCTGCCACAGCAGCAGCAGCAGCAGCAGCAGCAGCAGCTCACCCTGTGGTAGTACTTCTGCATGAAGTTGTACTTGTGTCGAATTTCCCTCTTGGGCTGCATCTTGTCCAGTTCTTTGTCGTCTTCCCGCCGCTCCTCCGCAGTCATCTGCCGCCGCCGCTCCACCGCCTCCAGCTGCAGCAGCAGCAGCAGCAGCAGCAGCAGCAGAGTGCGAGTGCGGAGATGAGGAGGGGCAGATCAAGGGAAAAAGGCAATCGAGACTTCAGCAGCAGGTGGGCCGGCCAGAAGGCCAGCGGCAGCAGCAGCTGCAGCATCAAGTGGAGCAGCAGCAACAGCAGCAATCAGTCAAACAGCAGCAGCAGCAGCAGCAGCAGCACCGTGCTGCTGCAGACTCACGAATTTCTCTCTCTCCAGCTGCTCCTCCTTGTCTCTCCGGATCCGCTCGAGCTCTCGCAGCTTCCAGTCTTCATACTGCAGCAGCAAAGCAGCAGCAGCTTCTAATCAAATCATTATTATTATCATAACCTATTTAGTGAATAGCAGCAGCAGCAGCAGCAGCAGCTGCTGCAGCAGCAGCAGCAGCGGTTCTTCTTGCACGAGAAAGCTCGTGCAGAAATGGCGAGCAAAGCAAAACACGCATTAACTAATTTCAGGAAAGCGGATTTAAATAAAAATAAAAGTAAATAAAATAATAAAACAATAAAGCAAATAAAACAAATAAAAGTGAAAACAAAATTGGCAGCAAAAGAAGAAAAGACAAAATGGACCTCTTGGGCGGCGTCGAGCCCGTCAGTATCATCCGGCATTTCCTCCGAGCCCATGAGGTTCTTCTGCTGCTGCTGCTGCTGCTGCTGCTGCTGCTGCGCCTCCACGGGAATGACGGGGGCGTCTGCTGCTTCCTCGTCTTCGCGGGCCAAGACTGCGTAAACCATTTGCTTCGTCTCCAGCTTCCGCTGCTCCACTTGCTGCTGCTGCTGCTGCTGCTCCTCCCGCACCCGCCGCTGCTGCTCCTCCCGCTCCATGACTGTCAGCCGGCTCGCCTTCGGCACGAAGGCCTGCAGCAGCACCCCGCAAGCAGCAGCCACGCTGCAGCAGCAGCAGCAGCAGCAGCAGCAGCAGCGGGAGCGGGGCAGCAGCACGAGCAACGGCGGCAGCGGCACACCCGCAACGGCAGCGCGAGCAGCAACAGCAGCAGCGAGAAAAGCTGAAACGCCAGAAGCAGCGACAGCAACTGACACCGCAAACAGCAGCAGCAGCAGCAGCAGCAGCAGCAGCAGAGGGCTGTTAGCTGCAGTTCTCTGCTGCTGGCTCACAGGCTTGTGCAGCACGACGTTTGTCTCTTCGGGCTGGTCTTCGGAGACATCTGAGAATTCGGACTCTTCGCTTTCTTCACTTTCTTCTTGCTGCTGCTGCTGCTGCTGCTGCAGCAGCCGCTCCTCCCTCCTGCGCCGCTCCAGCACTGCTGCTCGCAGCTTGTCCCGGTCCGTAATCGTTTCTGCTGCTGCTGCTGCTGCTGCTGCTGCTG